GGCCCCTGTAGTTCTGGGGGAGGAGGAGGAGGAGGAGGAGGAGGAGGAGGAGGAGGAGGAGGAGGAGGAGGAGGAGGAGGAGGAGGAGGAGGAGGCGGAGGAGGAGGGAGAGGAGGAGGAGGAGGAGGAGGAGGAGAGGAGGAGGAGGAGGAGGAGGAGGAGGAGGAGGAGGACGAGGAGAGGGGGGCCCGGCCCGGCGCGGACCCGGAGGACGCGCGCGGGCGCCCGCCGGCGCGTGAGGCCGCGTCGTCGGCTCGCGTCGCGGCCTCAGCCCGTCTCCAGAGCCCCGAGAGGGGGCGAGCCGCGGCGGCGGCCGCTCGGCGTCCGGCCTCCGCAGGACGCCTCCCCGGTGCCCCCCAACAAAAGGCCCCCCCCCCTTTTGGCCCGAGCTGCGTCCCGCCACGGCGAGGTGGAGTCTCCGGGCCCCCTCCCGTGGTCCAAACCCAGACCCCCCACGTCGTTTTTTTTTTTTTTCCTTTTTTTAAAATAAAAAAGAAGGAACTCAAAACGTCAACTCCCAGAGGTCTGGACCCCTTCCCCGGGACTGGTGTTGCATCCTGAGTCGTTTCTGGACGGTCCCGAGGCGCGGCGTCGTGCTTCTCCCACAACGCGAGGAGGAGGAGGCCTAAGAACGCACCCCATTCCCCGAGCGGCGGCAAAAGCCCTGGCGCCGAGGGGCCTCCCCCGAAGGCCCACAGCCCTTGCCTGACATCGCCGTCCCCAGAGGTGTGACCCCCTTGGCTCAGCGGGCGAAGAACGGTATAAAGTAAACTTTTTCGCTGTCGGGGGCGCCTGTCCCTGGGCGGCTGGAAAGTTTATACCCTTACGGTGCCACCGTAGGGGTATAAACTTTCCAGCCGCCCAGGGACAGGCGCCCCCGACAGCGAAAAAGTTTATGTTATACCGTTCTTCGCCCGCTGATTGGCCTTCGGGCCACGCGTGGGCTCTCGGGCGGCCGCTCGGGGCGCTCCAGGCCCCCCCGGAGCGCTCTCGGCGAGGCGCAGCTGCTGCCTCCCGAGGCCAGGCAGGGCGGCGAGCACCGCCGAGAAAGCGTCCGAACACCTCGAGCCTCGAATTTTCACCCCTCGCCCAGCGCCCCCTCTGGCGGGGGCTCCACCGACGGGCACTGACTACCTACCAGACCACCCCAACCCAACCCGAAGACCCGAATTTCGGGTTGGGGGGGTAAGGGTTCCACATGTGTTTTTCCAATGTTTCCCGACCCCTCCCCACCAGAAATCGAGGGCTAATCTGAGCCTTCGGGTTGGGTTGGGGTGGTTTGGTGCGTGGTGAGGCACTCTGGCCAGTGACCCGGCGAACCCGACCCGTCCCGATGGTGGGCCACCAGAAGGAGGCTCTTACAAGCGGCAACTTCCGGCTCAGAGTCCCAAAACAAAGCACCTGTCGGTGGGTGCCTGTTTTACGGAGCCGCTGATCCGCCTGCGCCTCGGCGCCGCCGGGCAACGGGCGCCGGTGCTGGATCGGCCCCGCGGCGGAGAGACGCTGAGGCGGCCCCGCTCGGTCCACGAGCGGCCGATCTCCGCCGGGAGGCCGCGGGGGGCGCTCCGGAGGGGGCCCGATGCGAGCGAGCGGGCCCGTCGCAGGCTGGAGCTGCCGGCCCCCCCCCCCCCGGCCTGGAGGGAACTGTGCGCGGGCGCGCGGAGCGGGCCGCGGCCCCTCCGACCCCAGACACATCCCCGTGGTCGGGGCTGCCGTGAAGAAGGAGGCGGGTCCAGATGGGAGGGGGCGGGGGGGGGGAGGGGGAGGTGTGAGGACGACGAGGACGACAAGGACAGGAGCCAGGACGAGGACGGCACCAAGGGGGGCGAATCGAGCACTTAGAGGAAGAGCGAGGGATCTGCAAAATCATTAGCATCAGGAGATGAGGAACATTGTTGCTCTCAGAGCCCATGCAGAAACAGTCAATATCAACGCAAAAGAAAGCACAACGACAATTCTGACACTGAGGCTGGGGCTTTCAGCCGTTGCCGGCGGTGCACCCCAAAAACGCCTGGCGCAAGACGTGTGAGCTGCCCAGCCCCCGGTCGCTGGGCGCTGTGGCCTGAACGACCAACTCAAGCCCCTCCCCTGAGATCCGACGTTGCAGAAAAACTGCAACATTACAAAACATTGCCACTGGAGCCCCGGACCCCATCTTTCTGCACAAAGTTTCGAGCCGCGTCGACCTGTGCGGGCCCCGGGGCCCGAAACGGAGCGAAAACGCCAGGCTCGAAACAATTGCAACGCCAGGATCTCAGGGTCAGTCGCGACTCGGCCCGAGCAGCCTGCAACCGCAGACTCGGTTGGAACCGTTGCCTGTCACAGGGGTGCGGATCTTCACGGTGTGTGGCGGGGCCGGCCGCGGCAGCCGACGCACCGACGCCCTCCCTTCCCGAGGGAGAGGGAGGAAGAAGGACGGGGCCTGACTGCACCTGGCACGGGGGACGGGACTACCGAGGGAAGCGGGCCCTGGCCTCCCGGGCTTCCCCTGGGTCTCGGGCGTTGCTACATGGGGGGCGGTCGATGGGGAGGGGGAAGGCGTGCACCTTTCGTGCCCCTGTTGGACCCCAGGGGTCCGTCTTGGGCCTCTTCAGGGCACAAGACATGTGCTTTTCTGCTCCCCCCCCATTGATCGCCCACCCCCATTGCGCAACGCCCGAATCTCCGCCTCGCCGACGGCCCCGGGGCCCTGGAAGGGCCCTGGGGAGGCTGGAGGCGGCACCGAGCCTGCAGGACCTCCTGAGCGCATTTCCTATGGCCATGCAAATGCGCGCGCGGGTATCAAGCTGCCACAGGTCGGCGGCGCTCGAAAGGGCGAAGGCGAGGGTCGCCGTGTGGGGCCGCTCCGTGGCGATAGATCCGACCGAAACTGGCACGTCCCCTGTGCAATAATACCGAGCATTGTTTCACCGATATCTATCCCCTCTGGCGTGGCCCTGGGCCCCACTGGCCGATTCTCCGCCCTAGATGGGGACATAATTAGGCTGTTCCCTTAGGGCTTCGAGGGGGTGATCCCCAACTGGGGAGCGATGGGGATGGGGATCAGTTAAACGATACGGATAAATACGACGCCGACGCCGCCATCGCGAAGACGAAGGGCGTCGACGGTCACCTCCATCCCAAACCCATGCGGCCAATGTCGGAATCAATTCGGGGACCGAGCTCTATATACACCGACGCTTTTTTCTGGCCCTGCACTGAAACTCGCGCAAGAACGCAAATCCCGGTGTATACGGGATGTTAGCGTGTACGTGCTTCGCCATTTCCCCAGGGAAAGCGGGGAAACAAATGTTCACCACACCACCCCGACGTCGTCCGTGTCCCTCAGAAAATCCAGGGATTGAGAAACAGCACGCCGCTGGTAATGTAGATGCTCCAGTTTCCGATCCATCTTACTGACGGGGCCCTGGGACACACAAATGAATAACCACAACTAACAGGATCCCCTGCATTTTCCCAGATATTCTGGGTTTTCTCTTATACTCCCATCTTTCCCATATCTTCAACTATCTTCACATATATTTTTCTACATAAACACAACTAACAGGCCCCCCCCACTTCCCGTATCTCCCCATACTTTCTGGGACATCGACGATGAATTGTGCCTGTGTTTTTCTCTCCTCCTGAAATGTAGATGTTCCAGCTTCGATCAGTCCTACCCCCCAAAATGACTACCTACCAAACCACCCCAACCCAACCCGAGGACCCGAATTTGACCCGAATTCCAGGTTGGGGGCGGTACGGGTTCCACGTGTTTTTCCAACGTTCCCCGACACCCCCCCCACTGGAAGTCGAGGATACCTTTGGACCTTCGGGTTGGGTTGGGGTGATCTGGTGGGTGGTGACAATCTTACCCCCCCCAAAAAACATGAGATCTCTTGCGGAGGCGAGTTTCAACCTGCGCGGCCTTCTGACACAGGGCTGGGATCGGGAGAAATCGCTCCATGAGCGGCGTTCCGGAGCGCTCCCAGAGCGTCCAAGGAACGCTCTGGAGCGGCCGCGGCGCCCAACACGTCCTCCAAACCCGCCGATCCTCCGAGATTCCGAGTTATCCCGATCCGATTTTGTCCCGGTCTTCGCGTCGTTTTGCCTTCCCCCCCGCCTGCCGCCCGGCGCTCCGACGGCGGCGGAGAGGCCGCCCTCCTCCGATTCGGTGCCCGCTGGCTTTTTTCCGCCGCCCTGCCGTCGCCGGGCATAGCCGCCGCGCGAAGACGAGGCGCCGGCCCTGCGCTCCCTGGGAAGGCGGGGGGGGGCCCCTTCTGAATGCGGGATGACGATTAGTATAAAACATGGGAGGGAACGATTTTTAAAAAAGTTTTCTGTTATTTCTGCATCATTTTTAGGGGGCCAGATGTGAACCTTACCCCTACCTCCCACGATTTCTGAGGGGGAGGGTGGGGTTCACTTCGTTCGGGAGCTCCCGAGCAAAGTGAACCCCACCCTCCCCCTCAGAAATCGTGGAGGGTAGGGGTAGGGTTCGCATCTGGCCCCTTGATTTTCTGACTGGAGGAAAACGATTCAAAAGAATAGTTTTCCAGCCCGCGGCCGGTCTTTTCTAATCGTCATCCCGGGCGCCGCCGCGTGAACACGACCCCCAGTCATTTATTAATCGTCATCCTCCATTACCAGCCTGGAACATATCCCTATCCCTATGCTGGGCACCTCCTCATCACGATGCCAATCTTAAGGGTTCCCTTATTTTTTTTGAAGGAAGATCCCTAAGATTGTCATCGCCTTTTGGCGTGTCAATCTTCGGGATAGGGATCCGTTCGAGGCTGGTAACCTTCGGGAGCGCCCAGGGAGATCTTGGACGAAAAAAAAAGGATACCCCAAAAAATGCTCAAAAGAGGCCCAAAAAGACTACAAAATAGTCCCCAGACTATGTTTTGACTATTTTCGAAGATTCCCCCTGTAGAGGGACAGGCCCGACTTAAGCTCAGTGTACAGCTGCCCCACCGTGCTGAAGCCTCGCCGCAAGCCGCCTCCGATGAGGGCCTGCGCTACGAACGCCGCGCGCCAGTCCGCCGGCACGCGACGGCGCCGGCCCAGAACCCGGTCTGTGCCCCCTCGGCGGAGTTGTTACTGGGCTGGAGGACGCATAGCTTAGGGCGGTGGGCGTGGTACTCGAACGACTCGCACAAGCGGTTCGCACCGCACGCCGCCGCGCACTCAGCCATGGAGCCGGTGTTCAGCCTCTGCAGAATGCCATCCTCGGCATGATCCGAAGAGCTGCCCAACTGCTCGTACCCTTCGGGGCACGCCTGAGCATGGTCTACACAAGGCTGCCGGTGCTTATCCGGCCTACCGGGAATGTAGTACCAGAGCAGCTCGGCGAAAATGCCCGCCACGGGATACACTTCAGAGTCCAGGGTGCCAAGCAATTTCTCGTAGAACCCCCGGGGCCGCTGCCGGATCCTCTCTCGGGACAGCGCGAAGCGCGCCCCCTGCGAGTAGAATAGATTCCTCTCGCTGCCCGCGCCTAACGTGTCGATGTACGCCAGCAGGGCCTGATTGACGGGGAGGCCGCCCAGCCAGAGCTGCGACTCTTTCGACTTCAGTCTCGGGCACGTGGTGTTGAGGCGCTTGGGCTTTCCTTGCTCGCGCATGTCCACGTAGTAGTTGCCCGCAAAGCACATGCGGACTGTCTCGAACTCCAATCCTTGCCGAGGGGGCTTCCAGTGCCCGTTGAAGACGAACCGCGCGCCCTGGCTGTCGCCGCCGCTGCCGGAGAAGGGCCCTCCGCCCAGGACGTAGTCGTGGAACGTGACCCCCGGGTAGACGTGGCCGTTCTCGCGGTCGCCCGCGGCGCCCGACCAGCCGACAGTGGGCGCCTGCGCCTGGGTGAAGACGGTCCAGTCCGCAAGCTTGTCGTAGTTCTCGATGATGTGGTGCAGGAAGGTGTGGGCCTCGCGGCCCACATTCGGCAGCTGCCTGCAGTTGCGCGGGGTCCACGGGTACCCCCCGTGGTAATCCCGATAACCCTTGCAGTAGGGCGTGATGATGGCGTCGTACATCTTGCTCCACCCGACGGACTCGTTGTAGTGCGAGAGGACGATCTCGACCCTGTTCTTGCCGATGGACCCGGCCTGGATCCCCCGCAGCATCTCCCGCTGCGAGTCCGACAGCATCTCGACCTCCTCCTGCAGCAGGGTCGACGCCCCCTCGTACCTCCCGTTCTTCTCCGGGACCCCGCCACCTTCCGAGATCCCCTGAGGCTCGCTCGCCCGATGCCAGAAGAAGAAGCATCGGCACAAGCACCACTTGTGGCAGGCCCACGCGGATCTCTCGGGTGGGCGCTGTGGCGGCTCCCCCCCCCCCCGCCTCGCCTTCTTCGCGCGCGCCGCGCGCCGGGGCTGGCCCTGCGGGCGCCGCCCACAGGCGCGCCGAGAGCACCGCCCCGAGAAATCCGCACGGACCTCCCGACGCCCGGGCTCGTGCCGGCGCCTCTCCTTCGGGGTGCACCGCGCCGCGCGGGGCCTCGTCCTCCGCCGCGCCGCGCGGCCCGCCGCCCGCCGAGCCCGCCGCCCGCCGCAGCGCCGCGCGCAGGTCGGCGACGGGCCTGCCCTGGGCCTCGAGGGAGGCCCGCGCCGCGCGGAGCGCGCCCCGCAGCGGGCCAAAGGGGTCCCCCGGGCCCTCGAGACCGGGCGGGCCGCCCGCGTCGCCGTGGGCGTGCAGGGCGAGCGCCGCGCGGAGCCCGAGGTGGAGGAGCAGGGCGCCCGGCAGGGCTCGCGGCCGCGGCGCCATGCCGGGAAGGGCCCGGGGCACGGCGGCGTCACGGCCTCGGAGACGCGGAGGACCGGGGGAGCTCGCCCGGCGAGCGTCGCGCCGGGCGGCGGAAGAGCGGAGTGTGCATTAGGACGGCCGGAGCCGAGCCGGCTTCGGGCGGCGGGGCCACGGCAGGAGGGGCGCAGATCCGGCGGGATGCCCCCACCTCCAGCACGTAACACGCGGACCTGTGTCGGAGGAGTCGCGTGGCATCGGCCTGCGGGCGGAGCAAGAGGATACCCGACGAAGCGAAAGGAGACCCGTGGCAACGATGCTGCATGGCCGCGGGAGGGGTGGCAATGAAGAGTCTTCAACGAAGCGATGCGAACCCACCAGCCCTCTTGGCGCTCTGTGCGCAGATGTTACGTGCAGGCTCTTCCAAGACGGTGCCTTCCTCACCTGGGAATGATCAGATCAAGGGGCCCAGGAACACACACACACACACACACACATCAATACACAGACAAATCCCCGGATTCCTCATACTTTCTCCTATGTTTCCTTGATTGTCATCTTCCCCCCCACATCCCAGATTCTCCCATATCTGTATAACTCGACATTAACTTGTGCCTGTGTGCCTTTTTTCCGCTCCTAATCCATCATGGGTGGAAGGATCCGACACTCACTAAGATCCCACCAGCATGCGAGCCGTAGCCCCTGACCCAGGCCGGAGGAAAGCAAGCCTCTGACGGCCGCGCCCGGCCGCCTTCGCGCGCGGGCGCGCGCAAGGCGGCGGCGCTGCAGCGCAGAGAGGAGACGAGAAGAAAGGGGGAAGGACCCTGACCTTCCAGGAGGGCTAAAATATAGCACCCGACCTAAAAACCGGTCCCAGAGCTATTCTACGTCTTGGTGTTAGGCTGTTTCGTCGAGCCTTTTAGGCTTTTAGGCCTCCAGTGCTAAAAAACAGCTCTCTGGAAGGTCAGGGGAGGAGATAGAGGAAGAGGACCGACGGGGGGAGACGACCGCTGCGCACCCACGCCGCACACGCGTCGACGCCCGCCCTGCGCCTCGCAGGGCGGCGAGGCTCCTGCGGCGAGGCGGGGCCGCGCCTGGCCGCCCGCGGCGCGGAGGACGAGCCGCTGCGGCGCAGAAAGCGCTCCCGGAGTGCGCTTCTCTTTGGCGCCCTGCCGGCGTCCCCGTCGGGGCCCTCGTCGGGCCAGCTGCGCTTCCTGGGCACCTCTTTCGGGCCGGGCGAAAGGGGGGGATTGGGAAAGGGGGGGTTACGAAATTTGCTGCATGCAGCTGGTTTCGGCCTCATCGAGGGGCCCATTCCTCGATACATAGCCGCCTCCGGCGCCGGGAGGCGCTGGGAAAATCAGCTACGTGAGCTGATTCTCAAACCCCCCCTTTGCTATCCCCCCCTTTCGCCCGACCCGACTCTTGGGGCTCTCCTGGGGTGCGCTTGGAAGCAATCTGGGCCCTCTGCTCCACGTCCCTTCTTCAGCGGCCCCAGGGGCTGGTATGTTAAAGCGCCTGGGCACCTCTTGGGGCTCTCCTGGGGTGCTCTTGGAAGCAATCTGGGCCCTCTGCTCCACGTCCCTTCTTCAGCGGCCCCCGGGGCTGGTATATATTCAAGCGCCCTTTTCAGGAGGGGCGGGGGCCGGAATATCAAGGCGGTCTCGCGTGATCGAAGCGAAAGGGGGGCCGGAGAATTAAGGCGCTTTTTGAATGGCAATTTTAGGCAAGAGGTTTGAAACTGACCTTCAGAATATCCCCAAATAGCATCAACAGATGATTCAAGACCGCACGCGACGGCGATCATGATGACGGTGGTGATCGCAATTGTGAACGTGACGATGATGACACTGGTGATAATGATGATACAGATCTGGCGACTGTACCACAGCATCACATGCACGATCATGGTGTTCATCATATTGATCATTATTGTTGTCGACATCGCAAGCCGACAGAGTTCTGATCACCAAAGCAGTCATCGTTGTGTAACCGCAACCCCATCATGTCCACCAGCGTAACTACAACACTCAACTTTCCCAGAGGGGGGGCCGGAATATTAAGACGCCTCCCGTGGAGGGGAGGGGTCGGAGTATTAGTGTGCCGAAGCAGGGGGGGCGGGATTTTAGGGTGGGGGGCGTGTAATAAGGCACATGGAGTAAGTGGCCCCTCTGGGGGGTCTTCTTGCGCTATCTTGGAGTCATCCTGAGGCCTTCGAGACCCACGGGACACCGAAGAGGAGAGAACGCGAACACCAGGAAAGAGCTCCTGATGCCCCAGAGACCCACGGTACACCGAAGAGGAGAGAACGCGAACACGAGGAAGGGGCGCCAGAGAAGCCTCTAGTGGCCCCTCTGGAGAGCCTTCTCGGGCCACCTTCGAGGCATCCTGAGGCCTCAGAGACTCACGGGGAGCCGAAGAGGAGAGAGCGCGAACAAAAAAGGAAAGAGTGCCAGAGAAAAAAGATGCGGAGGAGGGGAGGAGTCCAGACCCAGTCGTCCGAGGTCTTGATCTTTCTGCTACGGTAGAGGCCTCCTAGATGGGGTCCGAGTCATGGCGTCCAAGGATCGCGCCGCATCGTCAATGCATCGCCGATGTATCGGCGATGCATCGGCGATGCATTGGCGACGTCGGCGACGCATCCGCGACGTCGGCAGAAAGAACCTCGTGCTCCGCATCGAGCCGCATCGCCGATGCACCGGTGATGCTGCGCGATCCTCCAATCGGGGAGACGTAAGACTCGGGTACAGGGTACTCGGGCTGGCATGACGAGAGCCATCATCAAAATGACGAGACCCAATCTGAAATTTGACGAGGGCTCCCCCTGCAAACATCCCACGACAACCTGACCTTCAAAATCCAGGACGCGCTCGTCAACAAAGCTTCGGCAAACCCGAGTTCCTGCTTACTCGAGTCTCACGTTTCCCCGCTCCAACCTCATCCACTCAGACCCCATCTGGGAGGCCCTGATGCGCCCCCCACGGAAGTCCTGGCCCTTTCCCCAGGGCCGGCTTTCCACCCCGAGCCGTGCTTCGAGGGCCCGCGGAGGCCCTCGCGAGGGCTCCTACCGAGGCCGACGCAGCCAAGAACGAGGCGTCGCGGCGTCTTCACGGCGCGACGGGGTCTGGGGGGGGGGCGGGGGGCCCGGGGGAGGCGAGGAGGAGCGAGGAGGCGCAGAAAGACGGTCGGACCCAGGCCGGGAGAGCATCCCTCGAGGAGCATAATGGGGCCCTCCGCCGGCCCAACACGGAACCGAGCATCCAAGGGCAGCATCCCCAGGATGCACGAGAGCTTCTCTCGTCGGCGGCGAGGCAGATGCGGTCCGCACCAGCGTGGTGCCAATCGGGGCAGCCGATGGCAAACTGTCGGGCGTGCAAGAGAGGGAGGCGAGGATGCACAAGAACATCCAGCGAGCACGAAGAACACCGGGGTACCCTCCCCGAACCAACCTCGATCTTCTGCCTCGGCCCGACTTAGCTGTGCGGAGGCAGGTGAGGGCGCGCGTGTGCCCGAGCCCGCGTGGGCGAGGTGCGCTGTAGGCCGCGGCCCCGAAAAAAAACCGTCGGTGGCAACTCATGGATCGACGCTAATCGATGCCAGTCGACGCTCATCGGCGCTACATGGACGCTAAATCGACGCTCGTCGGCGCTAGCCGACGCTAATTCGGCGTTATCTTATCGACTCCCAAACGCTACTCGGCGCTACTCGACGCTAACGACGGAAGTAAGAGGGTATACCAAGCTCCAATGATTTGCTACCGAAGAAGCCCTGCCGGGCCCTGGCAGCGGACAGCGGACGCCGGCCTGCACCATGTTTTGACTCCCTGCTAGACAACCCCAACCCAACTCGAAGACCAGAATTTCGCCCGAGTTTCGGGTTGGGGGGGTACGGGCTTCATATGTTTTTTTGTTCCCCGACCCCCCCAAAATGGAAATTGGAGGGCAGATCGGGGCCTTCGGGTTGGGTTGGGGTGGTTTGATCGGCGGGAAAATGTCTTGCTTGGAGGGAGAACATCTAGGAGCGGGCCGCAAAGAGTCACGCAACTATGGCCCCTCGCCAACAGCGCGCTGTCCGCAGAGAGCATGTTCCCCCCCCCGCAGCAGTTTGTCCTGCGAGCGTGGCCGACAGCTTGCAACGGAAGCAGTAAAGGGGCCCTGGGACAAACAAATAAATACACACAAATAGAATGAATCCCCATATTTTCCAATATTTTCTGGGTTTCTGTCTCCCCCCCACTTCTCATATTTTCCCATATTTTCCTGGGAATCGACGATTCATTGTGTCTGTGTGTGTTTTCCCCTCCTGAAGCAGGCAAGCTGAGCAAGCAACTGCCATCTGGGGACTCGCAGAAGTACCCACGCCGCTGCTCCACGGCCCTCTCCGGGGGTGAGTTTTCTGCCCAGAAGTCCGTGGCGAATCCGGCGGCGGCGTCGATGGGCCTCCCAGGAGGCCGAAGAAGGGGGACAAAGAGGGAAAGGCAGCGGCATGGCTACTCCAGATTTCGTAAGGAAAGGGAGGGGGTCTGGACCCTCCAAGACAAGCCATTTCAGACCTCCCCCGTGGGAGAACCCTCCAAAACATCGTCCCCAGACCCCCCAGGCCCTCCAAGATAGCCTGGAAGAGACCCCCCCCGAAATGAGACCCCCCTCCCTTTATTACGAAATCTGGAGTACACGCCCGTCGGAAGAAGTAGGTAGAAGCATGACGTAGGAAGGCGGATCGAGTAGCTTGGGTTCGGGCCCGCCCAAGGAATAACAAACCACAGCCAGACCTCGGGCCCGCCCAAGGAATAACAAACCACAGCCAAACCTTATCGATTCTTGAAGTAGGAAGGCGCTGGAAGTAGATTCACCGACATGCGACGTCCTGATTTTTTTAACGCGGGGTCCTTGGAAGTCCCGACCCTGTTCCCAGGACCCATTTTTCGTCCTGGGTCGCTTCATGACGGTCCCGATGCCCGGCGAGGACCCTCCCAGGCGGAAAACGGCCAACAAAACCTCCGTCCAGATTTTTGTTTTCCGACGCGATCATGTCTGGGCTGGGCTCTGGGAGTCCAGAAATACCGACTTTCAACGACCGTTGCGTACCCTGCCCTCCGTTGAACCTCGGCCAGCGCCGTGCACCGCGCGGGGCGGAGGCGGGGCAGGTGCCTCCGCCTCCGCATTAAGCAGGGACCGACCGTCCAGGAATTCCTGTAGGCCTACCACGGAGTGCTCTTAGAGCCCCCCAGACAAGAACAACAGCAGTGTTCTCAGAACACGAGCCCGAGGTTAAAAACAGGACAGCCTCGGCCAGAAGTGTTCCAAGCACAGAGCGCTCTTGGAACACTCGTTGGTGGGCCTATGGGCGAGCCAGGACGCTCCGCCCGGGCGGCGCGCACAAGGGGGTATGGGGGAGGGGGGGAGGCTTCTCAGAGGGAGGCTGCTTCTTAGAAGGCGTGGGCCCTACATCCACAGACAAGGCCCGCGCCCTCCTCCTCCTCCTCCTCCTCCTCCTCCTCCTCCTCCTCGCTCCTCGCTCCTCGCTCCTCGCTCCTCGCTCGCTCCTCCTCCTCCTCCTCCTCGTCCTCCTCCTCCTCCTCCTCCTCCTCTAAGAAGCAGGGGTGCCTCTAAGAAGCCTCCCCCCTCCCCCTGCCCCCCCTCTGCGCGTGGCCGATCGCCGCCGCTTGCGGCCGCCGCCCGCCCGCATCTGGCCTGTGCCCACCGAAGGAGGAGGAGGAGGCGGAGGAGGAGGAGGAAGCGGAAGAGGAGGAGGAGGAGGAGGAGGAGGTGGAGGAGGAGGAGGAGGAGGAAGAGGAAAGTGGAGGAGGAGGAGGACGAGGAGGTGGAGGTGGAGGTGGAGGAGGAGGGAGGAGGAGGAGGAGGAGGAGGAGGAGGAGGAGGAGGGACGAATAGGAGGAGGAGGGATCCGCGCCGTGCCCCCCGTGCGGGGCGGCGGCGGGGTGAGGCGCCTCCCTCGCCGCCGCGCGGGGCTCCGGGGTCGCGGGCGCCTCCATGGGCCGCCGCCGCGACACGCACCGCGGCCCGCCGCCCGCCGCTGGGAGGCGCGCGCCGTCGGCGGCGGGCGCCGCGTCGGCGCGTCGGCGACGACGACGACGACGTCGACGACGACGCTGATGACGCTGACGACGACGACGACGACGACGACCTCGACGACGACGACGACGACCTCGACGACGACGACGATCTCGGCGATGGTCTCGGCGACAGTCTCGGCGACCCCGAAGATCTCGGCAACGACCTCGACGACGGCCTCGACGACCCCGACGATCTCGACGACCCCGGCGACTTCGGCGACCACGAAGACCCCGACGACGGTATCGACGACCCCGGCGATCTCAAAGACCAGGCCGGCCGCTGTTTTGAGATTGTGTGTGCGGTTGTCCTTGATGTCGGTTGACTCAGCAGTGTCATGCTGTTGAGCTCGTGCCTGAGTGTTGCCTGGTCTTTCGGATTACTTGGGCCGACGTTGGTCCAGTATCGGTGCTGCGTGTGTGGTGTGCGCCATGCAGTTGTAGGTCTGCTCGGTAGCTCTCCCTCCGCCTCCTCCTCCTCCTCCTCCTCCTCCTCCTCCTCCTCCTCCTGGTTCTTTACCGATCTACTCAACCAGGGCAAGGAACGTGCACCCCACGCGTAGCAGAGAGAGAGAGAGAGAAGCGTCAAAATACTGACAGCGCGGAGCGTCAAAGTACTTCCAGTACGACCAACAAGCGGCGCCAACACCCTGGACACCAGCGACCTCTGGGGCCGAAACCCAAACGAGCTAGGTCCGCCATCCTCCTCCCTAGCGCAAGGCCTGCGGCTGACGAACACTGTTTCCCTCCTCCTCCTCCTCCTCCTCCTCCTCCTCCTCCCTTATCTCTCTCCTCCTCCTCCTCCTCCTCCTCCTACTCCTCCTCCTCCTCCTCCTCCTCCTCTTCCTCCTCCTCACCCTCATTCTTCTTCGTGCGAGACAACGGCAAAAAGACCATGGACACTGTCCGGCCGGCAAATTGGCCAAACGCAAAGCGACAACCAATGCTTGTGATAACCGCTACCGCGACTCTGCCGTCTAGCCCAGCGGGTCCCGACAGTCCGAATCTTGGCCGCCAAGTTGGTCGGCAACTTCTCGCTCCCTTTCGCCTCCTCCTCCTCCTGCCCATCCCTCCTTATTCCGCCCCTCTCCTCTTCCTCATCCCCCCTCCCTCGTCGTCCTCCTCCTCCTCCTCCTCGTCCTCATCCCTCGTCGTCCTGGTCATGGTCCTGGTCATGGTTCTGGTCCTGGTCCTGGTCCTGGTCCTGGTCCTGGTCCTCCTCTTCCTCTTCTTCCTCCTCTTCCTCCTCCTCCTCTTCCTCCTCCTCCTCCTCAAGCTCCTCGTCCTCCTCGCTCCTCCTCCTCCTCCTCCGCCTCCTCCTCCTCCTCCTCCTCCTCCTCCTCCTCTCCTCCCCTCCTCCTCCTCCTCCTCCTCCTCCTCCTCCTCCTCCCCCCTCCTCCTCCTCCTCCTCTCCTCCTCCTCCTCCTCCTCCTCCTCCTCCTCCTCCTCCTCCTCCTCCTCCTCCCTCCTTCTCCTCTTCCTCCCTCCTCCATCCTTCTCCTCCTCCACCTCCTCCTCCTCCTCCTCCTCCAACTTCTTCTCCTCCTCCTCCTCCGCCTCCTCCTCCTCCTCGTCAGCAGCAGAAGCATTATCTTCTTCATCATCATCATCATCATCATCAGCATCATCATCATCACATCATCGTCATCATCATGATCATCGTCATGATCATCATCATGATCATCATCATGATCATCATGATCATGATCATGTCATCATCATCATCATCATCATCATCATCATCATCATCATCATCATCATCATCATCATCATCATCATCATCAGCATCATCATCATCATCATCATCATCATCATCATCATCATCATCATCATCATCATCATCATCATCAGCATCAGCATCATCATCATCATCCTCCCTGCGGCCTCCCTCCTCCGCACCTTCTCCTCGCTCCGCCCTGCCTCCCCCTCGCAGGGCGCGGCGGCGGCTCTGGAGAAGCCGCGGCGGCGCCACGCTTCCACGCGGATGGCACGCCCGCGCGCGCGGGCCGCCGTGGGGGGCGTGGTTGGCGGGGGGGGGCTCTCGCCCTGGTTGTCGCGCAAGGGCGCTCCGTCGGACTCCAGCTGCTGGGCGTCGAAGAGGATGTAGTCCTAGGGAGACATGGGTGACGACGAAGACGGGGAGGAGGAGCAGGAGGAAGGCGGGCAGGAGGAGAGGAGCGGGACCGAGCTGGAGGAGCAGAACAACCACCGATCCGGAAGATCTCGGGGGCGCAGCCGCCGCCGTGGGCCTCGGGGCGGAACAAACAACGGCGCGGGAGGGACAGCCGGTCCCCATCGGCAGCGGTCGAGACCCTTGTGGGGGCCCACGCTGCGCACAGACATGCGAGACGCCGGATGCCTCTGGGTGTCAAGCATTCTGAGAAGAAGAAAAATGAAGGGGCCCCAGGACACACAAATAAATGCACACAAATTTAAAAAAATCAAAACTCCCCAATCAGAGCTTGCTTCTGTAGGGGTCCTAGCGGATATAAAGCTGAAGTGAGGTGAGCGGCAAATTTCGGTGGCCGGGGCCGGGTGCCCGGGTGCCCGGGGGTGCCCGGGTGGCCGATTTCGGTGCACAGGCCCGGGTGCCCGGGTGCCCGGGTGCCCGGGGGTGCCCGGGCGCCCGGGGGTGCCCGGGTGCCCGGGGGTGCCCAATAGCCCAATAGCCCAGTAGCCCTATAGACCTATAGCCCTGTAGCCGTATCGGAGGTTGGGGGGTGAGATCGAAGTGGAACGGAGAGCCCCCCTACAGGGAAATCGATTTCGGTTTCGTGTTCGTGCGTGCCGTGCGGGCGAGGCGAAGCTGCGTGGGCGGGCGAGAGAAAGTCTCCTGTGGCTGAGGCGCGGCCGGACCAAATGACTCCCCTTCCGGGCGGCCGGGGGCCCGCGGTGTCCCGCCGGTGTCCCGCTGGTGTCCCGTGTGGCTGCGGCGCGGCCGGACCAAATGACTCCCTTCCGGGCGGCCGGGGGCCCGCGGTGTCCCGCCGGTGTTCCGCGGTGTCCCGCGGTGTCCCGCGGTGTCCCGCGGTGTCCCGCGGTGTCCCGCCGGTGTCCCGCGGTGTCCCGCGAGGATGATGATGAGATGATGATGATGATGCTGATGATGATGTGATGATGATGATGATGATGGTGTCCCGATGGAGATGATGATGATGTTGATGATGGTGTCGATGATGATGACAGTGTCCCGATGATGAGGATGATGACGCTCATGATAATTATGTTGATGATGATGACGATGATGGTGTCCCGATGATGATAATGATTCCGATGATGTTGGTGATGATGATGTTGATGGAAATGGTGTCCCGGCGATAACGATGTTGATGCTGATGATGTTGATGGTGATTATGGTGTCCCGATGATGATGATGGTGATGATGATGATGATGATGATAATGATGATGATGGTTATGCTGATGGTGTCCCGATGATGATAATAATGATGATGACGATGTTGATGATAATGTTGCCCATGATGATTATGGTGCCCCAATGATGATGAGGTTGTTGATGATGATGTCGATGATGATGGTGCGATGATCATGATGGCGATGGTAACCCGAGGATGATGACGATGTTGATGATAATGTTGATGATGAGAACGATGGTGATCATGATGGTCTCCCGATTATGATGATGATTCTGGTGATGCTGTTGATGATGATGACGATGACTGTGTCCCGATGATGATGATGATGATGTTGATGATGAGGTGATGATGGTTCTGGGGGGGGGGAACCAACGTCTCACTCGATCGGTCTCACTATCGATCTCAGTATCGATCTCACTATCGGTCTCGCTCGATCGATCTCACTCGATCGATCTCACAATCGATCTCACTCGATCTATCTCATTCGATCGATCTCACAATTGATCTCACAATCGATCTCACAATCGATCACACAATCGATCTCACATTCGGTCTCAATATCAATCTCACTATCGATATCACAATCGCTCTCACAATCAACGTCATCATCATCATCATCATCAACATCCTCAACATAAACATCATCACCAACATCGTCATCATCATGAGGGCACCGTCATCATCATCATCATAAACATCATCATCAACGTCAGCAGCAATATCGGGACAACATCATCATCATCACCATCATCATCTCATCATCAACATCATCATCATCGGATCACAATCATCGTCATCATCACCAGCAGCATCATCATAATCATCATCATAATCGGGAGACCATCATGATCACCATCGTTCTCATCATCAACATTATCATCAACATCGTCATCATCGTCGGGACACCATCGTCATCATGATCATCGCACCATCATCATCGACATCACCATCATCAACAACATCATCACCATTGGGGCACCATCATCATCATGAGCAACAACATCATCAACATCGTCATTCTCATTATTATCATCATCGGGACACCATCAGCATAACCATCATCATCATCACCATCATCATCATCATCGGGACACCATAATCATCATCAACATCAACATCATCATCATCAACATCATATTCGCCGGGACACCATTTCCATCAACATCATCATCGGAATCATCATCGGAATCATCATCATCATCATCATCATCATCATCATCATCATCGGGACACCATCATCGTCATCATCATCAACATAATCATCATGAGCATCATCATCCTCAACATCGGGACGCTATCATCATCATCGACACCATCATCAACATCATCATCTTCATCGGGACACCATCATCATCATCATCATCATCATCATCATCATCATCATCATCATCATCATCATCATCATCATCATCTCATTATCATCCTCGCGGGACACCGCGGGACACCGGCGGGACACCGCAGGACACCGCGGGACACCGCGGGACACCGGCGGGACACCGCGGGCCCCCGGCCGCCCGGAAGGGAGTTATTTGGTCCGGCCGCGCCTCAGCCACACGGGACACCAGCGGGACACCGGCGGGACACCGCGGGCCCCCAGCCGCCCGGAAGGGAGTCATTTGGTCCGGCCGCGCCTCAGCCACAGGAGACCTTCTCTCGCCCGCCCACGCAGCTTCGCCTCGCCCGCACGGCACGCACGAACACGAAACCGAAATCGATTTCCCGGTAGGGGGGCTCTCCGTTCCACTTCGATCTCACCCCCCAACGTCCGATAGCCTTGTATCCCTATAGCCCTAATCGGACGTTGGGGGGTGAGATCGAAGTGGAACGGAGAACCCCCCCTACCGGGAAATCGATTTCGGTTTCGTGTTCGTGCGTGCCGTGCGGGCGAGGCGAAGCTGCGTGGGCGGGCGAGAGAAAGTCTTCTGTGGCTGAGGCGCGGCCGGACCAAATGACTCCCTTCCGGGCGGCTGGGGGCCCGCGGTGTCCCGCCGGTGTCCCGCGGTGTCCCGCGGTGTCCCGCGGTGTCCCGCCGGTGTCCCGCGGTGTCCCGCGAGGATGAAGATGAGATGTTGATGATGATGATGATGATGATGATGATGATGAGATGATCGTGATGGTGTCTCGATGAAGATGATGATGTTGATGATGGTGTCAATGATGATGGTAGTGTCCCGATGATGAGGATGATGATGCTCATGATGATTATGTTGATGATGATGATGATGAGATGAAGATAGTGTCTCGATGAAGATGATGATGTTGATGATGGTGTCGATGATGATGATAGTGTCCCGATGATGTGGATGATGATGCTCATGCTGAATATGTTGATGATGATGACGATGATGGTGTCCCGATGATGATGATGATGATGATGATGATTCCGATGATGTTGGTGATGATGATGTTGATGGAAATGGTGTCCCGGCGATAATGATGTTGGTGATGATTAAGGTGTCCCGATGATGATGATGGTGATGATGATGATGGTTATGCTGATGGTGTCTCGATGATGGTGATAATGATAAGGACGATGTTGATGATGATGTTGCTCATGGTGATGATGGTGCCCCAATGATGATGTTGTTGGTGATGATGATGTCGATGATGATGATGCGATGATCATGATGATGATGGTGTCCCGAGGATGATGACGATGTTGATGATGTGGATGATGAGAACGGTGGTGATCATGATGGTGTCCCGATTATGATGATGATTATGATGATGCTGCTGATGATGATGACGATGACTGTGTCCCGATGATGATGATGATGATGCTGATGATGAGATGATGATGGTGATGATGATGATGATGATGATGATGATGTTGTCCCGACGATGATGCTGACGTTGATGCTGATGTTTTTGATGATGATGACGGTGCCCTCATGATGATGACTATGTTGGTGATGATGTTGATGTTGATGATGTTGATGGCGATGATGACGTTGATTGTGAAAGCAATTGTGATATCGATAGTGAGATCGGTATTGAGACCGAATGTGAGATCGATTGTGTGATCGATTGTGAGATCGATTGTGAGATCAATTGTGAGATCGATCGAATGAGATAGATCGAGTGAGATCGATTGTGAGATCGATCGAGTGAGATCGATCGAGCGAGACCGATAGTGAGATCGATACTGAAATCGATAGTGAGACCGATCGAGTGGGACATTGGTTCCCCCCCCCCCCCCGAACCTCCTTATCACCCGAAGGGTGGTCGTATAGGTAGCCTTATATCCCTATAGCCCCATAGCCTATGTAGCTCTATAGCCCCATAGCCCTATAGCCCTATGGCCCTATAGGTCACAGTCCTATAGCCCTTTAGCCCGATAGCCGTATAGCCCTATATCGCAATAGCCCTATAGCCCTTACAACAATCTGATTGGGGTTTTTCTCCGGTATCATATTTTCCCATATTTTCTGGGTTTCTGTCTTCCCCCCACTTCCCATAGTTTCCCATATTTTCTTGGGAATCGAGGATTAATAGTGTCTGTGTGTTTCTTTTCCTCCTGGAAAAAAACACATAAGCATAAGCTTTTGGCGCTCCGCGCGGATGTCTTGGATCTGCGCTGGGCCCCCCTTCCTAGCGCGCGGAGCGCGCCAGGGGCGGCGCCAGAGGCGCCGCCAGGGGGGCCCAGCGCAGATCCAAGAAATCCGCGCGGAGCGTTGAAAGTTGATGTTGATTGCGATTTTTCTTCTTCGATGGTTTGGGCACGTCTGGGAAGT